AGCCGGATAGTCTTCTTGCCCTAATTTTATCATCTGACTTTTACAAGAATGAGACCCAGCTCTGATGATGTCCACCAAATGATGGATAAAAGCTCAGCCCGCTTTCACCCGAAACGTGGGAGGAAGTCTAGTCGACTGCGGCAACCTGAACCTCGTAAAAAGCCAAAAGACTGCACTAAAACGAGATTCATCTGTCCTCATGTGGTGAGATCGACCAAAGAATCTCTTCATCATGCCCTTTCATACCAAATAAAAGTCCTGTCAACAATGGTATCTCAGCAGATTAATCGAAACCCAGTTTCTCTTTGTATATATTATTAGAGCTAGGGCAACATTTTTAATAACTCTGCTTAAGCTACTGACATTTTAACGTCTCTCATATGTTATGTTCCAGACAATGAGCCTCTCCAATCTTACAGTCGAAGATCGCGCTGTAATTCAATGCAATGCCTCAAATTCATATGGCTATGCATACACAAATGCATTTATCAATGTAATGCTTGAGCCACCCTTCATTATAAATCCACCACAAGCCTACATCAGAGTTGCCGAGGGTTTCCGAGTGGTGATAAACTGTGAAACTCTATCTGCCCCAGCTGCCTTAGTCTCGTGGTCCAAGGAGGGTCGGCAGATCAACGGTGGGCGCTACCAGAAACAGGCTTCCGGAAGTCTTCTTATTGAGGTAATAAAGACAGGATTGATAGAAGATATCGAGAACATAATTTGTTCTTTGATGTTACCCTGATTCAATGTATATGATTTTCTCTGTATGAAAAATGTCTTGCACAGATCTTATTGACTACCTTCAATTTTCAGGTAAAACGTTCTTGCATATCTTAGCTTAATTTTTGATAATTTTGTGCATTTCAATTATATAAGCAAACATTTCATACTTATTATATTCATAAAGTCATCATAGAAGCATGATAATGGGCATGCAAATGTGGGAGGTAAGAATTAAAATTGAATGCTTTATACTAGAAGCATTTTCATTCCAGGTTTTATGTACGCATGACAGGTTTGCTTAGCATCATAACATTATATATTTGCTTGGGATCTGGTAGAAATCTTATTAAAAAACGACAAGGACGACTTATATCTCTTTTTTTGTAACTATACTGGGCCTCCTTCCCCATTTACTGCGTACCAGGCTGGCGGTTGTAATACTTGTTTGCATTTTACAACACTTTAACAATTAAGGCTTTATCCTCAATTCCCTTTGTTGTTTTAACGCTTCTAATTACCATTTTATTAATAGGTAAATCTCCTTACACAGCTACCATAAAATATCCGGATGGTATTCTTTGGTTTACTATTTACCATTGTTAGAGGGACCTTCATTTCGTATGAAAGTGCATGGTATTGCACCATGGGTTAATTAGCTCTTGTGTAGCATTGCAAGCTCATGAGACATATAGTAATGCCTTTGATTTTAATGAATAATACAGTTTATGAGCTTATTTCGCCTTATGAAGGACTTCCAAATGAATTTCCCTACAATCATAAGAATAGGCCCCATTTATCAATTGAATTTCGCATAGCCATGCTTCCCAAAAGGTATTCTCATTCAAGGTGGACTATGTTTTTGGCCTCGAATAAGTCCTATTAGCATCCTTAGCGGAAGTCGAACCGTGTTAGTCCATTATTAAATCGTGACAGTTTAATATCTTCGCCACATTGTCACAAGTGTCTTTGGGTCACAGGAGAGATGTGAATTTCGAGGAATGCCAGGCATTTTCCAATATCATTTTCTCTGATAGAATTGCCGATATAGAAAAGTGGTATTTGCTATAGCAATCGACAGAATTACTTATTTTTCATTTTATAAACCCCGAAAAACCTCTTTTAAAACGAATAATAACAATTTTCTTTGCCAACACCGGTTTTAGTTTACATTTAATTTGGGTGAAGCCTAATTTATAATTTTGCCCCACAATTCACATTGCAAAACCAGAATATGGCATTATAGTTTCAAATGTGTAACTAGTCTATCAGATACCTTTGGTTTTGTGAATATATTGCATAATAGAGATATTATTAATAAGACCATGCTGCCATATAAATTCATCTTATTTAAGTGCGTTTATTAATAAGCTCTCGTACTATGACTGAGGACTGTAGAATTATTTTATAGGCGGAAGGGTAGTGTATCAGTAGGAAATCATCTAGGGCTCATTAAGGCTTAACAGTTTAATGGGGCTCAACTTTTTAGTTCAAATGGAAGGTTGGTTAGGAAAAATGTATGAATTGGCTCTAACGGAAACACAAAGAGGGCTGCCTTGTAGCGAAGACTGCTGGCCTGTGTGAAGAAGCTCTCGGCTTATTGTGACATGATTTTAAATTTCCAAGGAAAAGTTGGTTGAAAGGAATTCGTGATTTAGTCTTATCGGAAACTAAAGGGGGATTAGTTTCGTAGGAAAAATTGTTGAATTGTGCGAAGAAGTCCTCGGCTAGGCTTTCGTCTGAACTGTGACGGGCATCATCATAGCAGGAATACATTTTTCACGAATAAAGCAAAAATATACTAAACCAAGAGAAAAGAGGGCCAACTAAAACTTTGTCGCTTCATTATCCACCGAACTTTGAAATCTTAATGAGGTACTGTAGCCTGAATCTACATACTTGCAAATGGGTGAAGTTACTTCCCGAACTGGAAGTGTATTCGGTGGCAGCTGTTTCATTACACAAAGAAATTAGTGTAAAATCATCTAATGTTTAATCATGTTTGGGCTTGTGCCATTATCTTTTGTGTGTATTTAATGTCCATGTCATGGGAAGTGTGATAGCCCTAGTCAAACTCGAGGTTAATGAAGCCTCCTCTTGTTCAGTGGTTCTTTCTGCACAACAGACACAAATAGTTCCTACTCAATTTTACACACTTGTTTCTCCTATTCAAGAAGTTGGCTGTTTTGTTAATTTCTATAGACTCTCTAAGCTGATGCTTTGATGTAAAGTCTCCGTGATCCGCAAAACCTTGTGTTTTCGACTAGTCTCTTGAGTGTTCTGTATTGGCAAAATTTGTTCAACGAGCTCAGATTTTTGCACCCACGGACCTTTACAAGAGGTCTTGTGCTCATATGGTCTCTTCATGACGGGTCGGCAGACCTTTCTCACAGAGACCTTACCAAATGAGACCTCCAGCTGCCTTATCTAGAACGAGAATCTCAAAATTCCTCTTATCTGCTACCACCGAACACATTTCCAGTTCGGGAAGTAACTACATTCATTTGCAAGCATGTAGATTCAGGTTCAAGTACCAACCAAATAATGGTATGCCTCATTAAAATTTCGAAGCTTGGTGGATGATAAAGCGAATAGGGTTGTAGCTGACCCTCTTTTCTCTTGGTTTAGTATATCTTTGCCTTATTTCGAGAAGTATGGATTCATGCTCCGATGATGTCTGTTGCAGTACAGACGAAAGCTTAGCACAATTTCATCGGAGTCGCAGGACAGTGAGACGAAAACTTCCTCACACAATTCAACGGTCTTCCTTATGTGGAAATCCTCCTTCGGTTTTCGTTTGACCACATCACTTTTCCTTGGAAATGAAATACCATATCACATGATAACTTTGTGGATTTCTTCGAAACCCTATTATTCTTCATAAGCTTTCGGCTTATCGTCCTGCAACTCAGACAAACTTTTTTCCGATACGAAAATTCAATGCATATTAGAAATATAAATGAAAGATTTAGATATGTTACTTAATGCAATAAGTTGTTTTACTTTGTTACTAAGGCGATGCTACTTTACTTAACATAGGCTAACAGCAGAAGCTTTCATTGATACTCTCAAGAATGAACATCTAAAAGTTTTTTAACGTAAGAAACGTAAAACTAGAACCGAATACT